GCTCCTTTTTCGTCCTATGTCCTCTTCCTGCCCCTACCGCCCCTGGCTACGCGCCTGCTTTAAAGGGAAAATAAAACAATCATGATTGTGATAGCACACAATTAGGTTAGTAGAAATGAAAGGGAGAAAAGATCTATTACACTAACCATGGATAAATCACGGCCGGGAGCTTCATATCATAGTTTTGTGTTATCGGGCGAGGGCCGGGGCGTAGCAACCAAGCAAGATTTTGCAATGTTGAAATTATGCATTCTAGAAAATTCCGCTATATTTCTTTCTAGCTATATTTCTAAATTTCCTGGGGGACGTGTCTCCCTATCGGGCCCAGGATTGCCGCCCCTGTCCATGATTACTACCAACATGAGTTCAAATACAAACACGAGCGAGTTGGTATGAGCTGAATTCAAATGAAGGGCAAAATAAGAGTAATGAAGCGGCCCAACCGTTTATTTAAAATATAGCTTCTATTCAAAAGACATCCAAAATATTGTGCCCTTTTCAAATTTCTCACTAAAGAGTGATGACCTTTGTAGCGCAGGGGGCTGTTTTTTACGTTTAACTTTGAATCTGCGGCTCGAGATTTTATGCGGCCGGCCCGGCCCCCTCTATTTAATAACGTTTGCCAAACCTTCTGGAATGACCCCAAATCTCCCGATTACAGTTCTCCGTTATTCGTCGTTACTGTCACTTAGTGCCATTTCCTTGTCTTTCCCCCTTTCTCACCGAATCCCCCCCCCCCCCCACCCACTTACTATAGGGTACGCACATGTATGTTCCCTCTCTTTGAAAGCACCCCTCTATCTCCGGTGTAAGTCAGTACGGGCCGGATTTTTGTGTATTACGGGCCGGACTTTGTTGCGTGAAAAGTAACTCTTTATCGGAAATTTTGGGAACACAAATTCGGTCCCTCCGACCCCGGAGTGGGAGGGAGGGGGAGGGGGGGGGGGGAGTTGGGCTTTCTTCTTTATCTTTTCTTTTCTCTTTTCTCTTCTCTTCCTTTTTCTTTTCCCTTCTCCTTTCTTTTCTCTTCTCCTTTTTTTCTTCTCCTCTTCTCCCTTTTTTTTCTTCTTTTCTTCCTCTTTTTTTCTTCTTTTTTTTTGCGCCGCCAATAGGGGGGGCCGCGGCCGTTTCGGCCCCCCCCCTGGATCCGCCACTGCTGTTTATTGATAAATATCGCAAATCAGAGGCGGATCATGCGGTATTGCAGAAGGGGTGAAATCTTTAGAGCTTAAAACTTTGTGATCTTTGAATGGGTAAAGGCTACGCACTTTTTATTCCAAATTAGAGAGGGGCGGCCGATTTGTTTTCCAAATAGACCATTCTATAACCAATGATGCATTTTATCAGGGAAGGATCCGGAATTTTGTATAGTGCATGGGGGCACAATGTAACCAAAAAAATGACAAAATCAAGTGGGCTTTTTTGTTGTGTAATAATGTAAGTATATCAACATTGTAAGTAGTAAGTACAGTCAAACCTGTCTACAGCGACCGCCCAATGAAAACACAAAAAGTGGTCTTTGTAGACAGATTCCTTTAGTACATGTTTCAATGATAAACCATTTTCAAGGGAAACAAAGCATGTGGTTGTTGTAGACAGGTGGTCACTAAAGCAGGTTTGACTGTATATCAAAATGGTAAGCATATCAAAATTGAGGGTTCCAAAGTTGGGCACGGGCATATTGTGACCACTCCGTCCCCTATACGCGCTAATGCTTTATCACAACTTCAGTGTAAGCCTGTATGTCCGCCTCCTTCTGTCTTCATCAAAAATATTATATTGCCTGGATATAAACCTATTTAATGCTGGCCATTTCCAGGTATTTATGTCCATAAACAAACCTATCAATTCGATTTGCTCTAGAAACGACATTATTAAACTCGATCAGTTCATTTCTAAGAAGAGACCGATTGGTTAGTTACGGAGGGACTATTATAGTATTTAACAATAATTATTTTTACCTAGAGAATCCTCATCAGCGTTAGTCCCGTTCTTCCTGACGGCCCTGTCATTATTATCATTATTACCGCCCAGCAATCGCCAGGTATCCTTTTACAACTGGATGGAGAATGGTAAATGTGGATTAGTATCTTGCCAAAGGACGTTGGTGCCGGGTTGGGATTCGAACCCTCAAACCTATAGCATTGAGGGTCGAGTGAATGACCCACTATCCTCCACTGATGAATAAATTAAAATGATCATGATGATTGTGTTAAATTGTTACGTAATGAGTTGTAGTATTGAAGGATTATGTTGAGAGATAATGAAATTAGATTGCCATAATTTCTCAGTTAATATTAGACGTACAAGATGTGTAATAGCATGGATTTTTACAGACGTGTATCAATCGGATATGATTATTTACGCCTTGGGTTTTTTTAACGTCACCATCAGAAAGACGTGACTCAGTTTTGAACCGGTGTCCGGCCGCCTTAGCCAGTTTGCAGGCGAAGACAGAGAGCAGACCAAGTGAACGTTTACCGCTAGACCTGGGCCCCGTCTTACAAAGACTTGCGATTGATCCAAATCAATCGTAAGTCCTCCAATCAATCGCAAGTTTGCAGTCTCCTATCTCTAATGTACATAGTTGCGATTGATATCAATCGCAAATAAGTTGCTATTGATATCAACTCTTTGTAAGACGGGGCCCAGCTCAAATCTTTCTATCACTAAACCGATCAAACACTGGGTATTCATATTTATCACAGATATACCAGCGACAGGAGATTACAAGTATAGTTGCAGATATAACACTGTGATGGTACGATCGAATCATGAATTAACATGAATGATCAAAAGATCAGTTGTAATTGGATCTGTCATTTCTAATAGCCCCCCCCCCTCTCATCCCCCTCAGAAAAAATGAACTGGAAAGGTATTCCTTTTTAATCCGACTACTCAATATAATTATAACCGTGTGTAGTCATGGTATCAGTATTAACTGACGAGGTCGGATCCAATCTTACACGGGCTTCTGAAAATGGAATGAAAACTAGTGATGTATAAAATACCATTCAGGTCAAACCTCATTGCCCATAGATAATAATTATAATCCGCAAAGAATTGAAAATGGAGTATGGAATGGGGACAAGAGAATTGGTTCCTTATTACCTGAATCTTACTCGCGATGCAGGTATTAAAAAGCTTTTTTTGAGATGAAAATGAAGTGAGGCGGAAAATTAATCAAAGGGCGACTTGCTTTCGGTGTTTTTTTGGTGAATCTTTCTTGAACGATGGCGGACGATAGATTAATGTAAATTTAGCCGAGTGTGAAGGGTTTACTCGGCCGGAACCTCGGGGGCGTATGTGCGGTCGAGCAGCGGTGGCCGACCTGGCCAACCATACTCGGTAACGTTAGTTATCTCTTACTCTCGCGGAAACACCATCCGACTAAATATTGACAAATTTAGCGTCGTGTTCGGTAAATGACGGAGAGCACTTTAAGTTGATTAAAATGACGGTTTTGGTGTCTAAACGGCCTGTTGCGTTTTCGTATGCTTCAAGTATATGACTATAGAACAACCGACCTTAAAAACACGTTAAGGTCTTTTTTTAGGTGTGATTTTGTTCAGAGACGACAACAGGCGTATACAAAATGACATGTCACTGACTTGTCCGAATATAAAATTATAATTTCTTAGATCTGAGTGAGGGAGTATTCATAGGAAGCAAAGGAGCAAAAATAAGCTCTATCACTTCGTGAAAACGAAAATCTTATTTTGACATTTAAAAATACCATTACCTGTAGTATACTTTATGCAAATAGTATGCTTATGAGAGGAAAAGAGGGAGAGATGGTATGTGGTCGTAGCTGGTAAGGGTTATGTGGTGATCATAATGCATGTATCATCAATCAATCCATGATATAAACGTTTTAAATAATTTAGTGATAACCATCATGATTCCCCCCTCCCTACCCCCAAAAATATATATAAATGAAATAAAATCAGTCAACAAAATTTGTTATCGTTTAATACATACTTCATTCATTTAGTAACTCGTGCAATACAATTGACACTTGAAAAAATGCCATAAAAATTCAGCCAAAATTGAAGTTTTAATTGTTAATGTCCTACTCTTCATGTTATTTTACTCACTTTTCATTGAGTTAATTGAATAGGGTAGCTTCAAGAACACACACACACACACACTCTCTCTCTCTCACGTGTTAATTCTAAAGCCTTTGTCATCTCAATTCAATCAATCGATTTATTTTAATATACCATTTTAAGATCTTAACTTGTTCTCCGAATCTAGTTACTAGTGCAGAATGGTTGTCATACATGGGCGCACACGCAAAATTATTTCTTTGAATTCAGGAGCCTGATACAGGTAACTCAATTAATTGGTTATGAGAATGCACCATTTCCTAAACCTAATTGTACTGGCTGTCACGCCTGAGATTCACTTAACATGACCTCCACAGAAAATAAAAACCCAGACAGATAGAGAGAGACAGACAGATCGACATACATGCAGACAGATAGATGGACGGACGAACAAACAGACAGACAGACGGAATATCACCCCGGACAATATCCCGGATAATAATATTCCCGGACAACGATTCCCTGGAGCAACTTCATCGGGATGATAGTTTCGGGATGATTGTCCCAGGACTATCATCCCAAAAGTATCTCCGGAAAACAATATAAATAATATCAAATAAAGTGGTGCAAGGGGTACTTTTCGGAGAGGTAGTGAACACGGGTAGGGCGGTCCTATGGTAGCTGTCCTATAATCGACACGTGGTGTGATATAAGAAGTAATCGTCTGCTTCCCCCCCCCCCCCCCCCAAAAAAAAAAAAAAAAAAAAAAAAAAGGAAAACAAATGAAAAAAAAGGAAAAAAATGGAAAAAAGTATGAATATGTGTATCACTATGCTCAAAGTTATAGATCGCCTTTACCAAAATGCGTCCTCATTAATGTGACTAAATGCATGAGTTATAGTGCTCATCTTATGCTCATGTTCAGTGATGTCTTGTTGTCTTGTCTTATAGAATGCAGATATCAGCGGTGGAATGGCAGAGATGGAAGGCGGGAAAGCAGACGACATGCGGCCTAGAAATTGCTCCTCCGCAGAGGGTCACGTGACAAATGGTGAGTATTCTTAACAAAAGACCTTGTTTATGCATACTTCTTGAAAATTATCCCGTGATAACTCATAAGAGAGAACAGAGGCTTGCATTGAGGGGGGGGGGGGGGGGGGGGGGGGGGGGGGGGGGTCCTCCCGGGAGGGGAAAGCGAACTGAATCACTGTAACCCTCGGGTCTCATCTCCTGGTATAACTTACTGGGGGTGTGCAGGTGGACCACTATGTCCTATTCGAGTGATAGCCTGCGTCTATGAAAGGGGAGGGGCACTTTAACACTCAATGCAAGCTTCAGTCATCTGCCTGCATGGGTTGAATTTAAATCCTCGATCCTTGGTACAATAGGCAGATATCGTGGGTTCGAATCCACTAATATATGCATAGTGAATTTCTTCCGTACAGATGCCATTTTAGGTAGCATTAAGAGGCGCGAAGGCTCAGTGGTTCAGCACTGGTATCGTCAGCGGGAGGTCCTGGGTTCGAAACCAGTTGATGCGCTAGTGCCAGTATAGGTGAGGCATTAAATCCTCATTACCAAGTCCCTCGGATAGGTCTTGAGGCCGTCGGTCTACTAGTTGCGTTCTTACAGGCATTTGCCTTATTGGCCGCCAGGTAAAGCAAACAAACACATTTTAATTAAGTAGTTGGTAACCAGAAGTTCTGGAAATAAACGTGCATGAATTGAAATACATTAGCAGACATTTCTATCCCATACAATTCTTCAGTAATACTACCAAACAGACCAATAAAAGAAGGGGAAAAAACCCACCAACTATCCAATTGTTTAGTCTTCGGAGAAATCCCATGGATTAAGATGAGCCAGAAATGAATTAATTAGTGAATTATACTGACCACTACTCTGTGATTAGACTCACCGTCCCTTAATTCACTTTTGTACCCCGTGGTCATGTTATTACGGGTCGTTGTAGAGGTACATGATTGGATAACTTGTTTAGCACGAGGGTATTCTGGCCCAAGGTCCACGGCACAAATCGCTGTAGGGCAAGATAGGTTTGAGACTTGTCATACGAAATATTCCAGGATAAAAAAGGTAGGAAAATGATTAATTACCCCGCCAAAGAGGAGACGTATAGACCGCCAAGCATGCAATACAAAACAACGGCAAAGAAAAACCCACTTTTGAAACGGCGAGAAAATGAACTACCTTGCTCCGAGCAAGAACTTATTGCAGAGACTCGAAGAGAGAATCATTACAATTCTAGGAAAACCACTAGGATATTCAACATAAAAACTAAAAAACTGTTAATAATGAGACTGAACGTATTATTCCATCATTATTAGCTTTAGAGCCCCTTGTTATTAATGATGTCAATACAATAATTGCTTATAATGCATTCTTGTATCACAGACATGTCCTTGCCTTCGCTCATATGCTGTTGCTGCCCATACAAAGCATCCATTTTCATCGATTGTCCACAAATAAAGTCCAGTTATACCTCAGTCGCACCAACGAGACCGACACCAGACCGACAAAAGACCGGCAACAGACCAACAACAGACCGACAACAGACCGACAACAGACCGACACCAGACCGACAACAGACCGGCAACAGACCAACAACAGACCGACAACAGACCGACAACAGACCAACAGCAGACCGACAACAGACCGACAACAGACCGGCAACAGACCAACAACAAACCGACAGCAGACCAACAATAGATCGTCGAAAGACCGCTCAAACAATTGCATTATCCCGAATGGCTAAAAGTCAGTCGGTTTGTTGTCGGTCTGTTGTCAGTCTGTTGTCCTGCAGTCTGTTGTCGTCTGATGTTGGTCTGCTGTTGGTCTGTTGTTGGTCTGTTGTCGGTCTGTTGTCGGTCTGTTGTCGGTCTGCTGTTGGTCTGCTGTCGGTCTGTTGTAGGTCTGTTGTCGGTCTGCTGTTGGTCTGTTGTTGGTCTGTTGTCGGTCTGTTGTCGGTCTGTTGTCGGTCTGCTGTTGGTCTGCTGTCGGTCTGTTGTCGGTCTGTTGTCGGTCTGTTTTCGTCTGTTGTCGGTCTGTTTTCGTCTGTTGTCGGTCTGTTTTCGTCTGTTGTCGGTCTGTTGTCTGTCTGATGTTGGTCTGTTGTTGGTCTGTTTTCCTGCAGTCTGTTTTCGTCTGTTGTAGGTCTGTTGTAGGTCTGCTGTCGGTCTGTTGTCGGTCTGTTGTCGGTCTGCTGGTGGTCTGTTGTCGGTCTTGTTGCTGTGACTGGTGTACAACTAGACTTATTTTGCGTGACTAAGGTATTGTCCGTCAACAAGACACCTTCTTCAGGAGGAAGATCAAATTTCTACTTCGTTCATTCGGGCTTCGATATTTTCTTTCTATGTTAGAGTTTGGAGACTATTTTCAAGATTGATAATTATTAGCATTAACACAAGGGCGGCAGAGTATATCGTAAAGTACATACACTTTCTTCAAAAGGTTTTGATATATGAATTTTTAGTGTAAACCAGGAAGGGTTGCGAGGGTGGAAGAGGTGCTGTCCTAAAAGTGAATTATAATCGGGTAGTGGGGGAGGGAGGTGTTCATATGTTCTTATAGTAAAAGGGAGTACATTGCATTTATAATAGTTTGTGATATATGTATACATGTTTATTCCATATTTTGTGTTGTTTTATTTCTTTCAATCATTTCTCTCTTTCTTACTGGACCTCTAAGAAGAACAGAGCCATTAAATGAATGGCTCTGAAAAAAAGCGATCCAGCTGTTTTCTTAAAAAAATATATGTAAAAAATCATTATCTTAAAAGTTGATATGTACATATATATATATTTCTAAACCAAACCAGTCAAAGGTTTAACAAAAATCTCTCGGAAGCGTAAGAACGCCCCTGCCCCCTCGTTACGTCACCTTTGCATCCACACATCGAAATCGAATTTATCAAACTAGAAGGTTTCTATTTATCACTGCAAAAACTATCCTAAGGGATGTATAAAAACTTGGGTTTTTCCCCACCAACAAAAGTTGATGAAATAGAGTTCTGATTTAGTCTAGATAACTTGAGGGTGTTAAAATTTAATGACGAAACATTTATTTCATTCTATTTTAGGGTTTACGTTTCCTGAAATCACTAATCAGTTACTTTTCTTCGACCTTAATTTACCCAACAAGCTTTGCTCTTAACCCCTATTCGGACTATTACTGAAAATCATTAATTTTGTTATGAATTTGCGGCAATTGGTGATTGTTCTTGTCTTTCGCCTCACAGGATTATGATTTAGGTTACGCAACTTGTGCAATGAACGAATATATCAAATCAAAATAAAATCACTACAAATTAATAACCAAAAAAGGCGTGTGCTATATTTACACGCGATGCACAACGGTAGGTATACCTTAAGAAAATAATTACGATCTGTTTGATCAGAGAGATGTAAAATGATTATTATGAAAGAAGGATATGTACAAATTGATTATGTAAATGAAAAAAAAACTAAAACTGCCGCCTTGTTCGAATTTGTTGATGAAATTTTGAGATTATAAAGAAAAAGAAAATCTATATTCATTATTGCCCAGGGATGTGAGATAATGAGACGTGATTCACCCTTGAGCTGTTAATGGCGGTTCGGAAACATTTTAGCGCATTTTAACATACTCTAATAATACTTCATGTTTAACCCATAACAAAATCAATAGTTAATTTTGGACGACAAGGAAATGTATAGGCTTGCAATTATTATTGTTAAAATATCCCTGTTCGAATTTAGAAATGATCTAGTCTACTCTTTCCCCTTCAAATATACCATTTCTTCCTTCTTTATCAAGTATATTGAAGCTAGTTACCTCCTTTTCGGTGTTGGTGGTGGTGGTAGTGGTGGTGGTGGGGGGGGGGGGTGGTTACAAGATCAAATTGCTTGATCATTTCACTACTTTAGGCCTTTCACCTTTCACTCTGTGCATATTTTTATTATTCATGAATGAATTTATTTGACCTATAAAATTATGATAAATGTTGTTTTTCCCCCGCAGTAAATCGATCTCCATCACCGGATGTCGACGTCGATATCATTCACAAAGAAGTTATGCCAACGACAAGCATTCCATCTGAAGGTAAATTTCACATTTTATCCGTCTCTTTCTGTCCCTGATACCATTTACACCTGGGCGGAGGGTGGCAAAAATGGATTAAAGTCTTGCCATTATGTTGACGATGTTAGTGAAGGGCTGAGATTCGAAGCCTCAACTTTTGGATTGAAAGTTAAAAAGTGAATGAGCCACTATACCAATGGGCCTCCACTGCGTTCATTGCCTTGGTGTTTTATTTCATGCACTATCGCCACTATACAGTATGAAAATTTAGGATCTTTGATTTTTGCTGTTGTACTGATGTAATTTAGCTTTATAATTTATATAGGCTAGCTCTAGAAAGAAGAAGTTATATCATTATAAGTAGGATAGACTTATCAGCTAAACTTACTATGCATAATTACACTGTGTGTGGGATGGCCAAGTTTGAAAAACTACCTTAAGGTCACAAAAGGGGCTAATATTGTTGATGTTTTCGTATGTTTGTTTGTTTGTTTATTCTTTAATCTCAAGATTGTCATTTTGACCCCATCATCGGAGACATAATTTTGTTTTAATGTTAAATTAGGGAGACCATGTTGACTTGTGCCCTTAGTTGCCTGTCTTACTAAATCTTTCTCTCTCTCTCTCTTTCCCATCCAGATCTAAATTTAGGACGACTTTTCGGCGCGAACAGTCCAGACGGTATGGAAAAAGAGGGTCCGTGAAAGTTTTCATTGTATAACCCAGCAAAAGAGCAATGGGGCATATAATCGCGTACTATCATTAGTATATTCTCGAACCTACCCATTCAGCTGATATCCAACGGAACAGCCAAGGCTGCAGCTGCACCACACGACCGTACATGCCCGAGAAAGAGGGCTTCTCGCCTTAGAAGGCAGACCACTTTCATCATCGACCAGACAGTCATGCCTTCACTGTGATGCCATGGTGATGTCCACATCAAACTTTGGTAATTCTTTTCACCTCTATTTCGCAATTCAATGATTTGAACTAGAAATGGCGTTATGGAGAGGGACTTCACTTAGCGCAATCCAAGGACATGGGAAACTGGACTATCGTCTCTCTAGATAATTCTTGCATAAAATATTGTTTTCTATAGATGTTTTTTGTTATGAATTTTGTTGACTGTAGAATTGTACTATTTCTTAAACGTTGTCATAAGAATTATCAAACTTGTGAACGTTTTTAAGACTATGTTGACTTGAATTCAAATTGTTATGCATTTTTACTGTGAAAAGTTTAAGATTAGAGCAAAATGAATTATGGCAAGATAAGTTTCAGAACCCGAAACTAGCACGACTTTGATTAATCGCACGTTCTGAAACACTCAACATGTGAAATGGAAATGGAAATGGTCTTAAAGACAATGTTCATGTTATTCTGACGAAGGTCGTAAACAAATAACTCGTGTTAAAAAAACCCTGAAACGTTGACAAAATGTAAGATCGATTAGATTATTATGTTCAAAGAGAAGAGAAATTGGATTATCCCGGGGCAAAAGTGCAACCTAACAAAATAATCTATACCTAATAATGATTGAATACACTGTGTCAAGAAAGAACATCGTATGGTATGTGCTCAAGATATCTTAATTCTGAAGCCTATGATTCATCTTTAATGTCCTATATTAGACGATATGTTTAAAAAACTTTGGACCTATTATCTTCCTCGGTTTACCAAACTAGGCCTCTTATAATTATTTCCCATTTATATTCATTCAACTGTACTGTTAGGAATTCATGTTTTTAGGGTGATGTTATGCGACTGTTTGTGTCAAGAACATTTTGCAACCCAATGTTGATATTACTATTAATATTATTATTATTATCTTAAGTATTATTATCATTACAATTATTAATATCATTACTATTATTATTATTAAATATTGATGACTTCTAAAGGTAATAAAAACCCTGATCAGCAGTAATGGCTTTGCTTAATCTCATGGGATGTGAAATTACCTTATATCGACGACACTATTTTTTGCTGCATGTATCATTCATATATTTTCGGCCTTAAAATGCATGCATCCATTTCATTTAGAAGATTGCCTCCCGGTAAAGCAAATTACATAGAACTTTTATTTTTGACAGATATACCGTTTAAGTCATTTATTACTTTTCTTCGCTCTATAGCTCATTTGATGTATTTTAATTGCCCTCTCACTATACCAGCGGTGATTATTAGCAATTGATAGCTCTCTACAATGATAGCATTCACATTCACAGATCGTTTAATCGCATGATCATTACAAATGTATAATCTAAAATTTCATTACTTGGTGGAGGCCGTTAGTATAATCACCTCGACCAATTTGTACCTTTTAATTTGAGTAAAATACTGGCACGACACGTTAATAAAATGTTAATGATCAAATGATAACCGAGTCTTGTTCGACAGACCTATCAATACTTTGACATAATAATAATAATAGCTAGTTCTTATATAGCGCTTTTCAGGACCGAAGGCCCTCTCAAAGCGCTTTTACAGATAGTTATATTATTACCCCGGTCATAGGATTCAGGCTTACCCGCACACAATGTATGCACATTCTCCACTCCCTGGGGAGCATTCCAGCCAGGCGTCTTTTTTACAAGCGCACACTTGCTAATCTAACCACATTAGCTTTCGCATCCTACCGGGTACCCAATTAACACCTGGGTGGAGAGTGGCAAATGTAGATCAATGTCTTGCCAAAGGACATTAGTGCCGCGGTGGGACTTGAACCGCGAACCTTGTGATCCACAGTCCGGTGACATATCCACTCGTCCACGACACCTCTACACCTCGACATTTTGGAAATGAAATTCCTACATGTAAGCTCTTCCCGGAAAATTTCTCGTCATTTTGATGATGGAATTATTCAAAGTTTCAAGTAATCAAAATAATGCTGTTTTGTCTGGGCATATAAATAGAAATCATATACTGATGATTTCATATTTCATTGTGCTGTTTGCTCTTTTGAATGAATATGCACAAAGCTACTGACAATACCTTTGTTTTTTTCGAAGTCTTTGCGATCGCGTTTTACTCATGCCATGTAAATCCACCCACTCTATAATGTACTTTAAAGGCCATCTGTACTAGTTTGGCTAGGAGGGATTAGACCACCCAGGTTTTTCACTGACAGGTGGCTATCTCATCAACTCAGCTCTCAATTAACATAATAAAAAGAGGATCATGTGGGACCAATGGTCACCGATTAGGCATCGTTTTCTATAGAGAGGGAGCAAGTAGTACAGTGGGGCTTTCACCGAAAAGTGTTACCGAGTAATGTATCACTAAAAAGTTATACATCTGAGAAAGTAAGGATGACTACAGCGACTAGCTTGCATCAAGAAACCTTCACCTAAAAAAGAAGCAAAAACAGAAACAAGAATCTTTCTTTCGACACTCTTAGTCAATGGCTCGCAAATAAGAAAAGCTCAAAACGTGAGACAATAAAGAAATCTGAACACGTTTTAATCTTCTTAAGTGTAGTTCAAAATATTTATTTCATATGATAAGAAAGATTCATCGGGGAAAGGTTAGTATTTTCCCATCCTCGTGCTAAATATCAATCTTACTATGATTGATATAATTAATGCATATACAGGATCGTGACCTTATGAGTCAAAAGCCTCAACCTTACACCATCAATTAATCAAGATTATCATATTATGAAATGGCTAGCTTTCTTCGCGGATTACACACCAGACATATCAAAACAAAAATAGAGTCGTGCATCTAAGGCCATGTCAAACCGTTTCCTAGTTTCGCAAAAAACGGCCCTTTTTAAATTCCGAACTACGCCGGAATATGGTATAGATCCCTTTTAAAGCCGAACGTGCTAAAGTCCTAAAAATCAACCCTAAGCATTGAACACGCACAAGAAGTAGAGTTCATTAAACCTAAGGCACTTAGTGTTGATACAAACTGTTTGTGTCATACAAAGAAAAACAAAAGCAACACAAAATCATTTTGAGATTAAAAGCAAAATACAATTAGAATATTGTGTCTCCGTTTATTAAGGCACCTCTCCTGTGACAGCCATGATCATGTTGATAACACCTAATACTTTTATGATCAGAGCGTTACAGACGATTTCTCGCGTGCCTGCTTGCACGGCGGGAAAACTAAGTCAGCCTTACATGAGCCCGTGAAATGACATGAACGATATGCATGAATTACAAGGATGTAAAAGCACCGCTCCATATCATAGCTCAAAATGGACCACTTAAATAGTGTGTAGAGAGACAATTCCATTTCATTAAAATGATGATTTATAAACAATTATCAAATGTAATGTTCACAGTGTGAATTGGTTTCGCACTTTGGAAATTGAAAGAGGTAATTAATTTGACGAATTCGGAACCTCTTTAGCTTGCCTTCAATAAGGTAAAAATAGTGCCGCTCATGCCAAAAATAGTACCGCCCATACAAAAACCTATTAATATTAGAAATCAACATATTTTTTTGTTCTTGTAGATTCATAATATACATTAATTATTTTCAGTGCTATGTCATTTCACTTTCTTAATATGTATCTTCTCAATCTAAGAAATTATTTCATTTTACTTTTTATGACAAACCTTAATTGATCTGCTTTTGAACAAAATTCATGAATTCGTTTACATAATCATGCATCAGACACTTCCCCCAAGTATTAAAATCACAATAGCACTTTGATCAAGCATTGATGGATTTGGTTGAACGGCTCAAATAAATAAATAACCTAGAAAAATAACAACAGACAACAACAACAACATATTACTTTAAAACTTATATGTACTCTGGCAAATAATATTATCTCCATAAATAATAGCATTTTTTTTTAAAGGGCATTTAAAAAAAAATTTCAATGACAAACTTGGCTTGAGGGTCCTCTGATCAATGAGGGGCTTGATTATATTGATTGCATACTTTAATCCTCTAAAATAACTTTTTGCTTAGTTAAACATACATTTACTTTATTAAAGAGCATTTCAACATGCTCAGTTTGATGATATACAGTTCCATTTGCTAGTGAGCACCAACATTTTTTTTTCTGCTATCATAACATTTCAAGGTTCAAGGTAAACGTGTAGGTTTGGACCTTGAGAGACAAAAAAGAGTGGATCGCCATATTAATTGGATTAAACATTCATAACAATCATCAGCACATAGAGACTCACTGATAAGGCTCATGACATCATTTTGAAAGTTATCCTTGTTGAAATTAATGTAAAATGGAATAGCAAAATATGCAATTTAGAGCAGTAATATAAACTCTTTTTGATTATACCTCAAACTTCAGGAAAGACTACATATTCTTGCCACATTATTCCCTTTTTTGTAAAATGAAATATTCTCTTTGTTCATAAATACAGACTTTATTTTGGACATGATTGCATACCAGAAATAAAGTAGGGAGAGAACAAAACAAACAAAAACCTCTCAAAAGAAAGGTCTTAAATGTACAAAAGATCTGCACAATTAAGGGAATTCTTATCTTTCCTAAAAAATTAACTCCCCCCAACAACAACAAATTAAGAATTAAACAAATCTTCAGTCAGCACAGATCAGGGTACAATATACTTGTATTTCATGTGTAACAATAAAATACATACCCAGCAACATGTTGCTGATTGGTTTGACTTTTGTTCTAAATGCACAAAAATATTATATAATTTGTAAAATGTATAGTATTGTATAATTATGTGTAATTTGAAGAGCTGTACAATATATTAGATTTTTAGAACAGCTTATGATAATGTGATTGATAAATGATGTAAAGATGTGAATTTGGATATAATACTGGTATTAATGCCATACACAGACTCATTTTCCATACTTGTGTTTTGTTTAAAGATTTCAAAAAGATATTCATATACATATTGTATAAATTGTACATATGTCTTTATGTCATATATGTGTGCTAAATATTTGCAATCATTATTTATACAACAGTACATAGATAATTCTTGTAAAAATATGCACAAACTTGACAATTGTAAAGTGCAATACTAGAGATGACTGACATGCTATATAGTGCTCAATTTGGCTGGCTGGCTGGTTATTTTTGTGAAGTATTGATGTCCTAATCCATTCTCTTTAACCATTCTCTCTACCATACTGTATGTATTAATTTAATTATCCAATCTAAGGATAAAGTCACAGCATTTGAAGTGCAGTGGAATTGAAATAGTAATCATAATATCATAGTAAACAGAAATGAATGAACCAGTTTCTTTTAATAACATAGTTGTTTATATCATGTGCTTGTTTGATTACAAAATCGGTAGAACACTCCTATAAAAAAAAATTATTCAAAATATAGGTAAAGATTAAAATGAGTTGTAAATAATGTCTATTTCTAAAAGTTATCTGCAATCTAATATGCTTTTCACACTGGCAAAATTGTCTTAAGCCCCTTACTATCAGTCTTAGTCTCACCTATAGTATGGGGCTAAGCTTTCAATAGCCCACTTTATATTCACACTCGGGTTTTACCAAAGTGGGCTAGCCCAACCGATAGTACAGGATTATTTGGCCCCGGATAAAAGCAGAGTCATCACCGCCATTGCAGTGCTATCTCTTGGAATTGGGTGCTAACAGCTCAAGTGAGAACAGAACTCAAAATAGTCTGGGGCTAAGGAAAAGCGGTGCTAACCTGTGAAGGTGTATCCAATCAAAGGTAGTCCGGGTTAATGGTTTTGAGTGAGAACAAAATGGATTTCCTTAGCCTGGGTAAGGCAAATAGTACGGAGCTAAGAAAAGTTAAACCAAGTGTAAAAATCCCCCCCCCCCCCAAACAAAGAAGATAGTACGGGGCTAAGGGTAGTACAGGGCTAAGGATAGTAACGGCCTGAGAATAACGAGTGTGAAAAGCATATTAGGCGCTCCAATTGTTAACTATGTAATGAAAGACGGAACATTTCCATTTCACATATTTCATGTATTTCTTAACACAAATCTCAATTCAATATTTTGGTCAGTTATGTCAATAAAACAGTGCATGATTATTAACATTGATCACATATTTTATGTATTTCTTTACATAATCTTAATTTAATATTTATGGTCAGTTACATGTATGTCAATAAAATAATGAATAATTATTAACATTGATCAATTGCATGTAACACATTTACGAAACAGGAATTGAATGCAGGGTAATGTAATACAATTAAAACTAATTCATTCTCAAGATTATCTTGCTCATATCAGTCATCCACAATGCCATAATATATTCACAGATCCAGTACTGATATTGCCAAAACGTATCGTTCAGAGGCAGAGGGGCGTTAGCACTGTGTTAAAGTATACAAGTTAATGCCATTCTTGCTCCAAACAGATGCTTTTTTTTTTCTTTTTGATGGTTACAATGCTATGAACACTTTCCGTACCTGATAAGCCTATCCAAATGTTTCAAGGGTTCCAAAGGATAATTTTCAGAATTCCTATATCTACTCTAAATGAACAAATACCATCAATATGTTTTTACCCAGTCCCCAAGAATAAATCACAAAAGTTCATAATAATCCCCCAAAAGGTTATTACCCAGAGGACCCTTCAAAGCAAACCCCTGTGATCATACAATGGCTGAAAATCATATTTTCAAAAATGACAAAAAAATAAATCAAAATTTGGTCCATAATTTTGACATTCTACGATAATACAAAGGTGTGATATGCTGTACAACATATTAAGGGCATATATAGTATCGTCTGTTTGGAGCAGGAGAAGGGTATTTCTCATATACTCTAAGACAGAGTTAACCCTTTCCTGGCTCCAAGCAGACTATGTCATATACTCTATGTCTCTCACCAAATTTTTCAAAATATTTCCTGTAATTGTTGTACCTTATCCAAATAAAATAATTTGAAATATATATTTCTATTAACACATGTATATTACATTTTTATGATGATGTAAAATACTAAATAGTCATGTATCTGACTTAATACAACAGTCAATAGACTCAATACCATTTATCAATGATTTTTAATAGATAACATACCATGATAATATTGTTTTTTTGGAGCAAGATGAGGGTTAGCTTTGTGTTTAAGTATATGAGTTGCTCCGAATGATGATATAGTGTGTTACGGTCAACGCAGAACCAGTTCTTACCAAATGTATCTTTTGTTCTTATACGACCAGTACCTTGTCTTGAATTCCCACCTATTATATCAAACTAATGCTTTGTCTCATTGATTTCGTCTTATCTGTGTGACTTTACTGTAAAATAATGTGTGGTGCAATTCAAGATTAAACATGGGAGTAACTTTAGTGCAAACTGCAATGTTCAACTTGCTCTTCTTATTCCGCATATATGTCACTGTAGAAACCATGATTGCAAAAGAACAATTTATATAAAATATGATATATTATATAAACCCTATTTGAACCTGGTTTACTGTGTATTGTTGTTGTTTTTGTACAAAAAAATAAATATTTACATCACACAAGAAACCGCTGCCTAGACTACTGTGTGTCACTAGTCTGAATCGTCCTCATCAAGATATTCATCGTCGTCGTCGTATCCTAGGGAGAAAACAAACAAAAATGGGGAAAAGAGTGTCAGTTTGACTTGATGTACTGATAAACAATTTCCCTCGTATAGCAACAATAGAAATCAAGGTCACTTTGAGTTCAGGGTATCATCTTTTAAGAAACCATAAAAAGTACAAGTTCACCGATGTCCCATCGAAATGTGTGGTAAATTCAATACACACATATCAGTGGGTTGTCGGCGAACTTGTGAAACTTTGTGAAACGCTGCCCTTGACATGACAGGAATAAAATTGAATCAAATTGAATGCTAAAAACTACAAAATTACAAATATCTGCCTAGTAAATAATGGTATTAAAATATATATCATAGCTGAAAAGAAGAAATGAGCAAACAATTGAAGGCACACCATGCATTCTCATATAGGAGAATATATGAGTTGGGAATTTCAATGAATGCCACTTCTTTGTATCTGTGAATGTTTTTGGCCTTATACTAGCTTGAATTTCTTCAAGGACACATGAGTTAAAATGACATATCCATGTAACAACAATACATCAAAGAAGAAATCAAATGAATCTATTGTCACCCGCACTTGCCTTTCATTTAGATTTTTTTTGTTTAATGGCGGCTGTTTTGCAGTGGTTTACCACGCTGTATTTGAACAAGCCTTTAGAGCCGTTTTAAATCAAGCAGAACAGGATGACAGATGAGTTGAACATCACCAAACAATGACAAATCATTTGAGGGATACCCCATTGCCTCTTTTAACTAATTGTCTCAGTGATCCTACCCCACTGACGATACAATAAATTAAACAATTGTTTAATGTCCCACAATCAAAAAATAATTTGAGGACTGTGTACCTACTCAACAGTGACATTTCATGGAAAGTTAGATGTCATGATCATTATTATTATTTATTTATTTATTTTTTTTTTTTTTGGGGGGGGGGGGATTAATCACTTTTAATTTTGTAGAAAAAAATCCAATGTTAATCATTTAATGAGGGAAGATTATTGTACTTATATATGAGTTGTTTTAAATACTAAAATTGAGGTACAGTTACTATGAATATATATATACTGGTTTATACATTTTCTTATATTTAATGTTTCAAAAGTGGAATGATAGCAGATAGCTCTAAATTCCCTGAGACTAATCTCAGGTAGCATTCTGCAATAATAATCAACATTATGTTATGTATTTTTATTCAAATTCATTAAAAGGATAAAGTGCCTCCTCCTCCTCCTTTTCCTCTACTCTTTTTTACCCTTCTTCTTCTTCTTCTTCTTCTTCTCCGTCTCCTTCTCCCTCCCTCTCCTTCCCTCCCCTCTCTCTCTCTCTCTTCCTCTCCTCCTCCTCCTCCTCCTCCTCCTCTCCTCCTCCTCCTCCTCCTCCTCCACCTTCTTCTTCTTCTCCCTCTTCTCCTTCTTCTTCAATGTATTCATCAACATTATTCTTGTCATTAATTTTCAATATCATATTTATTAGCTCTATCACAATGATAATAACAGTCACATTTTGTATAGCACCTAATACCACACTTTTAAGCGCTTTACAAGTTTGCATTTAATTATCATTACCCTGGTCGTTGGACTAAATTAGTTATCCTCACATGATAGTGTACATGCTCTACTCCCTGGGGAGTATTCCCCAGCTACACAATTACCCACAATTACTTGCTTCATTGTATATGCAGTAAGTTTCATCATTGCTATGAATACTTGTGGGAGATAAACGGCCAATCCTCTGCACTGATCAGGTTGTATAGGTGTACCACTAGGCCTTAAAAAAAGATGTTGTATTGCCCTTTAGGTGCCAAAACATGGGTCAGTTGGTCAGAATTGTTTTTTATTTTAAACTGATATTTCTCAGTTTTGAATGCGCTAATATTTTTTTCAAAACAAAATGGTAAAAAAATAAAATTTAAAAAAGACGACCGTAGATTTCAAGATTTTGGGGTCGGTCTTTTTTTAGGCCCTACATGTATATACACCCGATTTCACTGACTCTTAACAAGATGTGCTCTGAGCGATTTTCCTTGCTTTCCTACCACTGTACCTCCAATTTACATCCTATCCAAGGAGCACAGTGCCTTTTGATGGCTCCTGCATCTTACAACCAAGGGATGGGCATAATTCAACCAGGCTTCAAGGATACTAATCAACTAACAAATTATTTGTGTACGGCTAGTAAGTATATAATCAACCTATGAATGTTTCCCTGAATGCTATGGGTTAACTGTTAAAACTTTTTTAACTTGCCATATCAATTTATATTTGGAGGGAATGTGCGAAGCTCATATTTTGAATTTAATATAGTAGCATGGAACCCCAAATGAACAAAGCAAAATAATTGTCGCTGATTGGTTCTCCTTTAGTCAGCTGCCTGAGCTGGTCGCATTTGTTTTTTTTACCACGCAAACCCTGGACTAGGTGATCCAGGTCATCTAAACGACTATCATTATAATCATTACAATTCTGACTGGTTCAATGCATTCATCCTACTTACTGGAATACAGGTTCAGAAATAAACAATTATCAATATTACTTTGAACCCTGCGATAGGCAGTGGGTGGGTGTTTGCTAAACACTTCTCAGAAATGACAGGGAACAATGCTTGCAGCTTAAAGGGATCGTTTAACAATGTTAAATCTGAGATACTCGGCCCTACGCATTATCAGTGTCTGTGATATGGTGTAATATTGAAGCCCTAAAAAAATTGTGCTTCAAAATGATTAAGAAGTGCCTCAAAAAAGTAAAAATCTTTGAGTGACCGGTTTTACCATACTCTTTTCCCCCAATAGACTGTAGTGTTATGAAAACCGTCAGGCGAACGGTTTTCAAAATTTGTAATTCCAATCATAAATATCTTGATAATCAGACAAGCGATCGGCTTGTAAAAGTCATGGGGTTCCTGAGTGACCTAAAGGTTTATAATTATCATTGCATCATGAGCTAAATCCAGAATTTTGTTTCAGAATCTTAGACAAAGTTACCGCATCCCTTAAACACTAACATATCAATTAATCATCAGTATTAAAAAGTAACCCTACTGCTCCAAGTTGAAAAATGGACAGAAATAAACAACGTCTGCCACGATATCATGAAAAGTACACACTACCTCCCATGCATCTAATAATTGAAACAACAACAAAATATTGTGTATATGAGGCAAAAGGGTGATGAAGAGAGAGAGAGAGAGAGATGGGAGGAAAGATGGGAGGAGAGAGACTCACAGGAGAAAAAGAGGAAGAGAGGAAGAAAGTGAGAAGGGAAAGAGAGTTGGAGAGAGAAAGAGAAAGATGAATAAAGAGAGAAAAAGAAAGAGAGAAAGAGAAAAAGAAGAGAAAAGGAGAAAGATATAGAGAGATAGTAAGAGAGAATGAGAAAGCAGTTGAGACAGAGTGAGGGGAGGGAGAGAGAGAGAGAGAGAGAGAGAGTGAGAGTGAGAGAGAGAGAGTGATAGTGAGGGAGAAAGAGGGAAAGAGAGACAGAGAGAAAGACAGAGAGAAAGAGAGAGAGAGAGAGACAGCTGCAAGACAGGAGACAGCATGATTTTTTTAAAGGGTGAAAAAAGAAGAACTTGAAATGACTTTACACCTTTGAATCAAAATGCAACAATGATAATAATAACATTGGATATTTTTATAGCACGCATATCCACTACACAAGGTGCTAAAGAAGCTTTAATAATATATGAAAATAACAAATGGTATTAACGCAAAAAGGTATTTCTACCATGCAGACCCTACAAAAACAAATTCCATGTTTTCAATGAAAAAATATGAATATTGTGAATTTTTTGCAATATGAAGTGGAGAGAATAAAGTAAATAATATAGTTCAAGCCATATCAATGTCGATCGTGATGAATAAGATAACAAATTTCGAACAGTTTTAAACTGTTCAAAATTATCACACCTGTGAATTCAAGATAAACTTGAGTTCTGGTAAATGTAGAAATAAATTCTCACAGAATCCAATCAAACTTACACTGAATGTTCAAGATAAATGACAATATGACATGTGCCGAACAATTATTGGTAAAAAATGTGTAGTGGCCGATTGATGAGCATAGAAAGATAAGGAAATCCGGGTAACTGGGCCCGCCGACACCATGTCCTTTTTTAGTATTTTGTGACATATCAAATATTGATATAATGATAAAACTTTGAAAACTCAATGAAGTATTGAACTGAAGAAGAAAAAAAATCATTAATAGAATTATGTTCAATAAATAAAGCAATCTAATTTGCTGAATTTCAGGCAAAAATCCTCATTGCATTGATACAATGAAATATGATAGGAGAAGGTAGGTCTGTCCGAATTGTTCACTTTGCAATGAAAAAAGAACAAGAAAAATAATTGTCAATTAAAGTATAAAACAAAACAGATATTACCCAGTCTTTTGTACTACATATCTCTCTAAAATCATGAAATATTAAGACAGAATTAAAGAACTTTGTTTCTAGACTAGTCGATTCTCCATCTATTTTATAAATAAAACAGTTTGGATTAACTGTAGAAACTTAAGCGAGAGAAGTAATAACTCCATTGCATGAATGAAAAGAGAGAGAAGGAAAAAAACACCACCAAACCAATATGAAACACATAGGAATCAACAAAATCAACCAGTGATCCGTACCTGACCCAATTGTCATATTAATAATGAGTCCGACTTACCAACAATAGAGGCTTTAAATAAACAGATGAAAAGTCATGAAGGAGAGATTAATTTCACAATTTCCATTTGATGATTGCATTATTTAAGCTGAACATAGGAGGCAAAGTTCCCTCATTAATACTAATTTGACATTTGTTAATTTGATAGCGGCGGCAGGCTTCAAATAATAACTGGCATCAACGACTGGTTATTCATCGATTATTCATCAATTATTTATTTGTGCAGCATGCAAAGTTCATCATCGCATATGTATTTTTTTTGTAATATCATAACCAATGGTCTGGCACAAATGATATCAAATTGGTTGTAAAATGATGAGTGAGTCATGGAGAAAAAAAATGTATTAAAAAAAAAAAAGTTTTAAAAAAATTTGTCCAGAGCATATTTCGCTTAATGTACTTTACAAAGGTGTATCAAGAATTTACAATCTACAGACTGTTAATGCATTAAGATCAAATGGCACAACTAGAATTATCTGCCTTCCAAGGTCAGAACACTGAGGAGGAGGGCATAATGCATATAACCATGGCCAAAGATTTGGGGACTAGCAGTGGAGAGGGTGGGAGGGGGGGGGGTGGGTCTTTGCATCTTTTTTCACATTTCCTTCCCCCTTGCACTCTTATTTCTCACTATTTCTCTTTCTCGCCCTCCACCACTGCTTCAAAGTACATGTATATCATATAGAGAACATGAGTGCACACCTTGTACAAGTGCAAAGAAGTGCAATGTTAAAATCCCCCTTTGACAAGCATTTGCTCATGTTAAACACAGACAGTTCTCAAAGTGTTGTCAATTAAAATATCTCAGAATGCTCTGAATGCTATGTAAAAAAACAACAACAATATTTAATTTTTTTTTTTAGCACACACCAGTCCCCCATCTACAACATGCATGACATTTAGACACTGCCCCCCCCCCCCGCCCCACTCAGTTTTTGGACCCATGCTACGCAACAACTTTAAAAAAAGAGAATTCTAGTTGTCATTTATTTTAAGAAAGAAAAAAATATACAGTTTTCATAAACGATTACATGTTTTGAACTTTTCCACACCCTTCCCAAATTAAAAAAAAAAAAACTTTCTGTACACATGGCATCTCAGTCCATGAATCAAATACAACAGCTGGTAATTCTTGGCCAATATCCTGCAAAAACCAAACTCCTAACTTCAACCCTGGACCAAATACTATGTTTAAACCTGAAATTATCAACCTAAAACCCAATGGCAACCATTATCTTGACCCTAAATCCATGATGAAAAATGGAGCCTGGAGCAAATGTCACAGAACAAATATCCGGTCATCCATCGCCAACTTTATCTGCTCTTTTTAGCTTGTAGGCCTACATCCATTTTTATCCAATCATCATAAAGGCAAGCATTTATGACTACTTAATGATTCAGTGTTATAAACTATAAAAAAAAACTTTATTTGCTCTTTTTTTACCTTGTAGGCCTATATCCATTCCCTATCCAATCATCGTAAAGACAACTATTTATGACTACTTAATGATTCAGTGTTATAAACTATTTACAAAAAAAGAGAAATAGGAGCATAATACAGAGTCTGATTCAATTCCTATTTCTATTTCTCTTTCTCGTATTCATCGTCATATGTAAGGCCATCAATGTTGCTTTGTAGTCAGAAGTTTAATTCCCTGATCAATGAATCAGAATGATAACTGTTCCCATCAACGGAAGATACATTTTTCATTCCCAATTTACAAGCTTGAATCGGGGATGAAAAATTAAATTGAATTAATTGTAGCCTGCATCCTTCACACTTACGAGTATCTGTTGTTTAAATGTGGGTTATAGTCTATAGAACTGGGTTGCTCGATGATTGCTTGTTATTAATACATTTTAGTTGTGGATGAATTATTCAAACATGATTGCTGCGACATTGAGAAGCAGGGCCCTCCAGAGGGTGTGCAAACAGACGAGTTGTAATTTTTCATCACATTAAAACGTGTCATACTCAAGCAAAACGTCGCTTAATATGAGAATGCACTTTGAATGATAGGAAGGGAGATATATTCTGGATTAATCTTCAATTGGCAGTCATAAGTGATTAAAGGGAATGTAAACAAATACTGAAGGGGCTCAAATCCCAAGGCATGGGATGACATGTGGTGGTGGCTACGCCAACTAGAGCGTAAACGGAAGGAGGGGGGTGGGTGGGTTCGATTCAAAATAATCATAGACTTGTGGCTTTCCATGAATAATGAGAATGGGTCATGAATTCTTCATCTGTGCGGCGAATAGACGAGGGATTGATACTTGTGTAATATTCCCATCCCCGACGGCCCTTTGTATTTATCTGGACCAGAAAATTAATTCACGTACTATTCATCCCCCTCCCATTGATTGAAATTTGCCTTTCTCTCACTCTCTCTCTCTCTCTCTCTCTCTGTCTCTTTGAGTCTCTGTGTCTCTGTCTGTCTGTCTATCTCTTTCTGTCTCTGTGTCTCTGTCTGTCTCTCCCTCTCCCTTTCTTCCTCCCTCCCTTCCTCTCGATTTCTCTCTCTCTCTCTTTCTGTCTGTCTCTGTGTGTTTGTCTCTGTCTGTCTGCCTCTATCTCTCTCTCTCTTCCTCCCCCTTTCTCTCTCTCTCTCTCTCTCTCTCTGTCTCTCTTCCTCTGCGCCTCTCCAAGTCACAGTCTCTCTACCTGTATGTCTGTCTGTCTGTCTGTCTCTCTCTGTCAGTCTGTCTCTCTGTCTTTATGTCTCTATGTCTCTCTATCTCTCTCTCTTTCTCTCTCTCTCTCTCCCTCTCTTTCTCCATCCCTTTTGTGGACACTGTGATTAAATTGGGAATGCTTTCAGGGTCACCATTAGCTTTCTATCACGAAACCACACAAATCTCACAATAGTGATGGTTATGGGTTTTTCTTTGAATGTAACCTGACAGCCAGCCTGTTGAGTGAGCTCGTTACTATATCAATTTCTAACCAAGGACTTCTGATGAAGTGTGCACCAATTACTGCATGTATTTCCTGTATTTAATTCCCTCTCCCCTCTCCCCACTGTGTGACCATAGGTACATGATCACTAGCAATGTCAAAAACAATTGGTCTCCTTGTTCTTTCTCGTCCACTGATCTAGAATCCCGAAAGGCCAATTTATCAACACATTTATCCATCTGCTTATGAGTTTCAATGTTTTACTGAGCACAGAATTATACTTATGCATTTTTCTAAACTGATGCGCTTAGAGACTTCGATGGAAAGCACTTTAAGTTCTGTTTTTTATTATTATTATTATTATTTAAACATAGAAGAGTGGAAATCCACTTCTGGGGAGTCACATTAGAGATCTCTTCGCTCGGAATGTAAAATGCTCTTTTTTGGGGGGGGGGGGGGGCGGGGGCACTACTTTGAGTGGATTCCTCTATAATTTGGACTCAGCTCAAAAAGAAGGGATCACTAATATGACTCCTAAAAATGTATATTTTCAACTCCTCTGCATATATCCCCAGTTTACATCAATCAGTAATTTCTCTCTCTCTTTCTCTCTCTCTCAAATGAACTACCTTTGCCAATGGATACACGTTTTCAAATATGTTCCGAGGGTATATATTTAACAATATTGGAAAGTTGATATATAATATATGTAAAGATTATTGCAATACTCATATTAAATTCCAAATACTTTGTTCATCAACCATCAAAATGATACCAATATTTGAAGGTACTGATGTGGTAACACAAGATTTCTGTCACCACACTCTTATATTAATGTCACCACAGTCTTATTATACAGGTGACACAAGGCAGAGTAAACAATTCCATCCGATTCAAGGAAATTACGGTAGGCTCTCTCTCTTAGTAAAAGCAGTTGAAAACAATTTCAAGTATATGGTGCGGTGATCTTTACGGATGTGATGGTTGATCATAACCCAAGTCAATAAAGTTATCCACACACATACTGTACATAGAATGTCTACACCATGTCCACTCTCTGAAGGATATTCCTACCATTAAGGTAAATCATAGTTGCTTTTGGCATCATAACATGTACCAAAGCTCCATTCCATCCCTGGTTGTAGAGTGGCAAATACAGATGAATGCCTTGCCCAAGAATATGAGCACCATTCCAAATTCAAACCACTCAACTTCACCATTAGTCACATTTATATCATAAGTCCTAATAAAGGCTGCTTAAGGACGGATGGACAATCAGAAAACATAATGCCTCCAGCTACTTTGTAGCGGAGGAATAAAAAAGAAAAATACTACTCACTTCTCTGAGGTAGAAGAAGTGCTGCAGTAGCGGGATCTTTTGAAGCAAGTTGTTGAGGAATTTTACCATCATTGTTTGGCAAGTCTGTCCGTGCTCCTGTTGGGAATAATGAAACAAAATGATCACTCAAACCATGCACGCTATAAACTGAGGTCTGGGTAATTGGTCATGCATCTGAAACAAAATAGAAAAGTGAACAAACAGACAAACAAAAACTAAAACAAGATTGTCAATAGCAAAAGTAAATTCCTTTTCAGAGGGATAGTTATCTTGTAGCCATGTATAACATTTAAAAATTATAAGTTTGTTTAAACTGCATGAACAGATTTTGTAAGACATCAAAATACATATATTCTCTTATCCTTTTATATAAAATAACAAGGTAGACTGATATGCATCCATCTCTCCTACACCAGTGTTGTTATATTGGTCTGTTGAGTCAAAATCATGTGATGAAGAAAACAATTAAACACAACTTGCTGTGCTCATACAAAAATCACCTACATGTACTGTTTATATATATTAGTAGCTTCAATCAAATCTTACAAAGCTGATTTGAAGACTTCTTTGGTACTTATATCAAATTTCAGTGCAGACTACATCATGTGGGGGTAGGGCATTTTGAAAGGTAGCACCAGAGCTTTAGAAGTGACTCCCAAACAATTGAAGGAATATATCACTCAGTTGGATCAATCTAAATCCAAGCTGAAAACACAATTGTTCTTGAATGTGTCATCTAAGTTTTTGTGACATTAATAAGGTGATGTTCTAACAGAAATATAAGAAATGTGCTATTATTACTATTATCATTATTATTCCATTATTCCATAATTCTACATTGGTGAGGAAAACTGAAAGGGGTACATAGTGTGAGTATCGGGACTGGGTTATTCTTTCTAAGTTCTAACACATCTCTCCAAGAAAGAATAATCCAGTCCTTATAAGGACTACACACAGTGGTCAAGTTTTCTTCCTCGTCTACCTCACCATTATGATAATAACAATAACATGGATATTTATATAGTGCAGGTATCCGCCACGCTCTGAAGCTCATGGCACTTGACACATATTACCCTGGTTGTAGCCGAACTGCCAAAGTAACTAGCGATCAAGCTTATCAGGTACCCATTTACACCTGGGTGGAGAGTGACAAATGTAGATTAACATCTTGCCAAAGGACATAAGTGCTGCGGCGGGACTTGAACCCTGTACCTTGTGATCTGCAGTTGGGTGACTTATCCATTAGACCACAACACCTCTACCATGCAAAACTATAAAGAACTTTAATTCTACATTGTTTTACCTTTTTCTAAGAGAATCTGTACTCCTTCCTTGTGTCCTTTCCACGCTGCTGCATGTAACGCTGTGTCTCCAATCTTGTTCTGAAAAGAGATACAAGAGATTTGATTTGATTTGATTTGATTTTCTTCTACATTCATATAATTACAGAGTTTTTTTTATAACAATAATAATATAAAGTACAATAAGCATTTTTCTGACAGTGAATCATATCTAAGCAAATATATATAACAATGGTTATTTTCAAAAACGAAATGATAAACTCTCATAAATAAAATGTAATCAAACATTATACAATTTTTTGCGGAAGGAGGACTGTCGTTGTAAGCAGATTGCTTGAAAATATGACAGCCCCAGACAAAACTCATGAAATAGATTTACACGTTTATTCAGCAGAGTGGATAGGTAATTAAAAATAAAAATTATAAGGATAATGATATGGACAATGCAGATGGAATACATGATGGGATAGAACACATGAAACCTTCATGATGGCTTATCCCCACGGTAATTCATGCTCAATAGACCGGTTTACTACAATATTCCAATTTTATGCATACTTTTTAAACGAAGGTTGTTCCTGACAACTGAATGCTTGCCTGAAGCTTGCTCGAGATAGCAACAAGTAATACAGATTGGATTCCAAGTATTGTAGTTCATTCATTAATAACAGGTCAATGGAATAACTAATCACTAGGTCTCCAGGAAAGAACCATTGATAACTGCATACATGCCAACATTTGAAAATCAGAAATCTGTACAAATTATGCTATTTTTAAAAAAAAGAGGAACAATCCTAACTCTCCTATTCAATACTACAGACAAATTTGTACAGGAAGAGGAACACCTGCATTAAAATGATAATTATCTTCTCCCAAAAGAGGAATGTTCCTCTTTAATCTGAACAGTTGGCATGTATGTAACTGTGAATATAATCTGGAGGCTTCCTGTTTTCAAGTGTCTGCTTTTTGTTGTCCTCCTTTTCTTGTTCAAATGTAATTATTTACGAATATACAATCTGATGTTTTATTTGATGTTCAAGAATAAAATGATTTGAATTGAATTGAATTGTTAGTAAATCAGTCCATCAAAAAACAAATAAGCTATAGAGATAACCATTTAATTCTTTAGTCTTTAGTTACATTATTTGTATTAAAACTTGGTGGTACAAATGATATACATGTAGTCATGCACATATCCATACATACATTTAACTTGTATTTACAAGAAATAGATAACCCCCAATAGAACAAAGACAAAGACAAAAACAAAATCAAAAGAATCAACAAAATAACCAAAACAAATTGGAACAGGTTTAATTTACATAATTCGCACATGTGATGTACTTGTACTAGCTTCCCTATAGTCAACATTCCTACATTTATTTCAGGTATACAGTATATCATTCCTGGGCAAAGCAACGGTTTCAGACTGGCCAGTGAGTATAATGCTCTTAGCAAGAGATGGCGCTGTCACATATCATGATGGAGCTATAATTGATTTTGGTCAAATGTGTATACTGTAAGTTGCCTAAAATATCACAAATTCAAGTGTGAATGTGGCTATATTTCACCTCCATCTATCATGTGTTTATCATCAGCAAGTAATAACTGAATCTGATTTCATCAAAAATAAGCTATCTAGAATCCTGCCAAATCTACATAAAAACATTTGCAAGCATTTTGCTCTTACAATAGATATGAGCGATTACCCAGCATCTGATATGAACACTGAAAATGAAGAAGATGAAGGAATGAAGCCATGTTGACAACGATGATAGCCTTCACTATGAACATGACGGACAAAGAAAGCGGACAAAATATACAGTTCCTCAAGTAGACAAAGGAACATCCCTTCACTGCTATTATGTAAAAATGTGTAGAACAGGTAAATATGCATGTGACACCTGTTCTACACATTTGTACATAATAGCAGTGAAGGGATGTTCCTTTGTCTACCTGAGGAACTGTATATTTTGTCCGCTTTCTTTGTCTGTCATGTTCATAGTGCTTGTTGAAGGCCTGCGTGAACCCAAGATAAAAGAATGTCTGATTGAGGGAGATGCCACAGTTGCTACACTACGCATTTGGTGTGGCTCACCTGAGGATAGTGATTACAACAAGCGTATATATGTGAAAGTTGTGTAGCAACTCCAACAGATTATTAGCTCTGGAACTCAAGCTGAAGTCATTAACCGACAACCGTTCATTACCGTTCTCAGCTCTCAATCCTTGTCTGAATTAAGTTCCACCCCCACCTTCCTGCTCGAAGCGCGGAAGCTTTGACGTTTTATTAAATTATTAGAGAAAGAAGACGATTCGTTGTACCGTTCTCGACTCTTAATTCTGTCTGAATCTCAAAAATGTTCTGTCTACTCCCTTTTCTTCCTACGTCCTCTTCCTTTTCACTCCTCTCTTTTTTGGGGGGACCACCTCACCCCCCCCCCTGGCTACGCGCCTGCGGTCAGATGAACAAATGTTGATACCTTGTCCGCCCCGGAAGCTCAGGGATTTAAGGCAATAATTTATGGTCAGATTAGCATTCAGGGGTCCGCCTTATGGCCCAAGGTGGGGTCCAGGGGGCACAGCCCCGGAAGTTCAGGGTTTTGGGGCATTTAGTTACAGTCAGATGACCATTATTTTGATACCTAATTGTGACACTGGCAGGTCACTAATTGGCATGGGGTTCAGGGGGCAGAGCCCCCGGAAGCTCAAGGGTTTTAGGCACTCAATTACGGTCAGATGAGTATCAAGGGGCCCGCCTTGGGGCTCTTGGTTGGGTCTAGGGGGCAGAGCCCCCAGAAGCTCAAGGGTTTTAGGCGTTTAATTATGGTCAGATGAGCATTTTTTGATACCTTATTATTTTGTGACACTGGCAGGACAATATTTGGCATGGGGTCCAGGGGGCAGAGCCCCCAGAAATCAGGGGTTTTAGGCATTAAATTAGGGTCATATGAGCATCTAAGGGCCCGCCTCAGGGCCCTAGGTGGAATCCAGGGGGCAGAGCCCTCGGGGTTTTAGGCATTTAATCATGGTCAGATGAGCATATTTTGATACCTCATTATAATGTGACACTGGCAGTTAATTTTTTTTTTCTTTCTTGCTCTCTTTCTTTCTATTTCTCTTTAATATATTTTTCAAAAAAGTGGGGGGCCCTGACATGTAGGCATCTCAAGAAGCATTTTCTTGCCTGGCTGTAAATTTAGGAATTTGTCATTTCCCAACAAACGCATAAAAAAGTATAATTTACTTAAAAGAGAGGAAAAATCTCGGAAAATTATGTCATTTCAGCATTATTTGTAAACCACCGTTATGGAATTAGAAATAAACCACGTTTGAATTTTATTTCCCCAAAGCCCCCCCCCCCCCCCCCCCCCCCGATCTACACCTTGTTGGCGGGAAAATTGCAACTGATATCTCTTACCTTTCTTCATTCTCTTTTTTTCTTCTTTCCCTTTCTCTCCTCTTTCCCTTTCCCTTCCCTTCCTTCTCTCTCTCTTTTAGGTTTGCTGGGGTGGGGGGCAAAGTCATTTTGACCCCCACCCCGCTGCACACATTGTTGGCGGGATTAACCGCAACTGATCTCCCCTTCTTTTCTTCTTCCTCTTTTTTGTTCCCTTTTAGCTCTCCCGTTTTCCTTTTCATTCCTTCTCTCTTTTTTTAGCGGGGATGGGGGGGGGGAGCAAGGGCCTTTTGCCCCCCCCCCCCCCCCCCCCCGATCCACAACTTGTTGGCGGGAAAATTGCAACTGATATCTCCCTTCTTTTCTTTTCTTCTTCCTCTTTTTTCCTTCCCTTTATCTCATCTTTTCCTTTTTTCTTTCCCTTTCATTCCTTCTCTTTTATTGTTTGATTGGGGGGGGGGGGGAGGCAACAGCCTGGGAGGCAAGTCCTCCCCCCCCCCGATCTCCTTTTTCCCTCTTTTATTTTCTTCTTCCTCTTCTTTTTTCCCTTTCTCTCCTCTTTCCCTTTCCCTTCTTTTCCTTCTCTCTCTCTCTCCTTTTTTTTTTGGCGGGGGGGGGGGGGGGGGGTCCAAGGCCCGCTCGGCCCCCCCCCCCCCTGGATCCACGCCTGCCCAGTTCTTTCACTCCTCTCTCTTTCAACAATTTCTGCAGACTGTCCATCCAATGTATCCTCCTTCTTCCTACAATTTTCCCTTTCAAAGCAAGATTCTCTAGGCCTTCTTTACGTGTAATGTGATCCATGAACTTCAACTGCCTAATCAACATCTCAAGTGCTCTCCAGCTCGTGTAAGAACTTCCTCATTACCTGATGATCATATGACGGAAAGTCTCAAATCTCAACTACGTCAATATCGTCAAACACGACAAAAAGATTCAAAAATTGAAAAGAATCGACCGATGTCATTGTACTAAGCGATTCTATGCTTCGGTAAACTCAACTCAGGAAACTTTCAAGCTTGAAATATATGTTTCACTATCAATTTCACTGTTACTATGTTACACAAAGATCCTAAGTTGAACATATCTCTATTAAAGTTGGACTTAACAATTATTGAAAGCCGTTAGCATCATTGAAAATATTTTGTAAAAATTATTTTAAAAGGCATAAAATGTTGATTCAAATCATCCAGATTTTCTATTATCTTTGGAGATTTAATTTTCTTGATGTGGAATTTATGAAAAGTCTAAAATACTTGAATTTTGCTTTCGAATGTATTTCATTATATGGCTACAAATGGCTCTCCATAATATTTAAGTCCAACTTAGAGTTAGGTTTGACTTAGAATCTTTGTAAAACACCCCCAGATGATGAATTTACTTACCTGAGCATCTACTTGACAGTTTGGTATTGCTAGTAATGCCTTCATGCAATCAATATGTCCTCCATGAGCTGCCCAGTAGAGGGGGGTGGCTCCGGCCTTGTCAAGACTATTGACCGAAACCTGAGCAAGAAAATAGAAAGAAATATGGTTGATATAACTTCTTAAAGGTAAAGACCAGTATTGGAAACGCCCCAATTTCAAAAAAGAAGTGGAAGCTCTCATAACCAATCATGTGAAAGAATATGTTTTGACTAATACATGATGATAAAAAATTTGCTGGGAAACCGCCTACTAATTCATATATTTGGTAAATTTGTTTCTCTCATGGTCTGTGAGAGATATAGGGTAGTCCCATATACATCTTTCTGTGTATAGTGCTTGTAACTTTACGAAGAATGGGCCAAATTTCTTATCATTTTGATGATTCCAGAACCTTGTAGATGCTAGATGCTAGATGATCAACCTTTTCTGATCGATTCCACAACGTTTCTTTTACAATGCAATCGCATGACCATAACTGGTCTTTACCTTTAACATTGAGCTTGAAGGAGGAAATAAGAATGTAGGTGAGAGGGGGGGGGGGTGAGAAAAAAAGAAATAGATACTGGGTGATGGAGAGAGAGAAAAAAAGAGAAAGAAACATGCTTCGTATAACTTCGTAACATTACAAATGAAGGAAAATAGGAATATAGGTAAGAGACCGGGAATCGAGAGAGAAAGAAAGAAATAGATAATGAGAGACAGACAGAAAAAGAGAAAGAAACGTGGTTGATATAACTTCCTAACATTGAACTTGGAGGGAAAAGAGGAATATAGGTAAAGAGACCGGGAAGCGAGAGAGAAAGAAAGAAATAGATAATTGAAGACAGAGAGAAAGAAAATGTGAAAGAAAAAAGAGAAAAAAAACATACTTGATATAACTTCCTAACATTGAACTTGAGGGAAAAAAGGAATACAGTTAAGAGAGGGGAAGAGAGGAAGAATGAAAGACAGACAGAACTGAAAAGAAAAAGGGGAAAAAAGACAAGGAGACAGACAAAGAGAGAGAGACAGACAAAGGGAGAGAAAGAGAGAGAGACAGATAGAGACAGACAGACAGAGAAAGAGAGAGAGAGAGAGAGAGAGGAGTGAAAGTCTAATTCTAGAATATTAAGTGTTGAATTGTTGATGATATCTGTACTATACTCTACATTGTAAAGTAATTAAAGAGTAAACTTACATCCATTGTGAAGACTATTAAAAATAATCTTGTGTTCTGATCAATGTAATTGTAAACCAATGCAAACGTTCTGAAAGTCCTTCAAGTTCATTTTGTCATTTTGCTGTGTATCATGTTTTTTGTTTCGTTCGGTCATCAAATGTATTAATTGTAAGAGGCGAAAGTTGAAGAAGTAGCTGTTATCATTTCCATAGATGGTTCCATAAACAAGTACGAAATTGATTGTTGTCTAGTAATCCAATATACATGTATTAAAAATGTTGAAGAAACATTAAAGACAGTATAAAATCATGCAGTTCTTGCTACACATACATAATGTACATGTAATTATAATAATAAGTAGGAAAAGCGACTAGAACAGGCAGAAAGGGTACCAATTTCCATGCAACTGTAGTTCTCCTCCTCCTCCGCTTTTCCTCCTCCTCCTCCTCCCCTCCCCCCCCCCCCCCCCCCCCCCCCCCCCCCCCCCCCCCCCCTCCTCCTCCTCCCCTCTCTCTCTCTCTCTCTCCTCTCCCTCCCTCCCTCTCCTCTCTCTCCTCCCTCCCTCCCTCCCTCCCTCCCTCCTCCCTCCCTCCCCCTCCCTCCCTCCTCCTCCTCCTCCTCCTCCTCTCTTCCTTTTTTTTTGGGGGGGGGGGTCTAAATCACCTCACAATCAGGTTGTCAGGAACAACCTTTGTTTAAAAGTATGCATCAAATTTGAATAAATATAAATTTATTTTGTTATCAAACTGGTCTATCATTGCCTTACCTTATTTGAGATGCATTCTTGAAGGAAGGAAAGATTGCCACGTTTAGCTGCTTCGTGAAGGGGAAAATCAACAGACTCCGTGCTTTCTTCAACTACAGGTTCAAAGCAGGGAAATAAATGGGAAACACACCAAAGTGAACAGAAACTTCTAACTCTAAGGCTAGATTTCACAAAGGAGGTCTTTCTCAAAGTGTACAGCTCATCAGGCAAGCTCATCAGGTTCTACATGCTGAGTATAGGGTGGGGTTTCTATTTCTAATACTTGCCAAATTACTTGAAATATGATGGATTGGTTAGAGAGAGGGTTCATTCAGAAACAGACGCATGCCTTAGGCCTAAACCAAAAAATGTTGTATTGCCCTTTAGGTGCCAAAACATGGGTCGGTCGGTCGGAAATCTTTTTGTTTTAACTAATTTTTCTTCTTCTTTTTTTCTCCCTCTTTGGGCTGATATTTCTGAGTTTTGAATGCTTTAATATTTTTTTCCTCTAAAAATCTCTTTTTTTTTAAGCCGACCGTAGATTTTTGGGTCGGTCGCAAAGAGCAATACAACATCTTTTTTGTTAGGCCTTATTTATATCACATCTGTTCCCGCAAGCATACATAACACGGTAGCCAACCAATTCAAAATGTAGCATAATACTACAAGGGGGCAGTCTGGATGATCCAACAATTTAGTTTTATTTAAAACCAATTGATGTATTATTTGTTCTTTTCAAAAACAAATCTGGTTGGAAACAGCTGATATTGGTTGCCCAGGGGGGTGTTTCACTAAGATCCTAAGTTGAACTTATCTCTAAGTTGGACTTAAAAATTATGGAAAGCCATTAGCATCTTTGAAAATATTTTGTAAAAGTTATTTTGAAAGGCATTAATTGTTTATTCAAATCATTCATATTTTCTATCATCAAGGAGATTTCATGTTCTGGATGTGGAATTTATAAAAATTCTAAAATACTTGAATTTCTGCTTTTGAATATATTTCATTTTAAGACTCCGATGGCTGTCCATAATTTTTAAGTCCAACTTAGAGTTAAGTTCTAGTTAGGATCTTTGTGAAACACCCCCCTGGATATGCGATTGCATTGTGAAAGAAAAGGTGTGGAATGGATCAGAAAAGTTGATCATATAGCATGTAAGTAATGGTGTGTAATGCAAGGTTCTGGAGTCATCAAAATCATCATAAATTTGGCAGAGTCTTGGTAAAGTAACAATCACTTACAGTGTACACAGAAAGATGTATATGGGACAATACACATGGTGTCGGGGCAATTACTACCCTGATTTCCTTATCTTTCTATGCTCATTACTCAGCCAGTATACATTTTCTTCCAAAATTGTTTGGCACATGACATTTATTTGTAATCTTGAACATTCAGTGTAAGTTTTGTTAGATTCTGTGAGAATTCATTTTCTTTTTTTTACCAGTACTCAAGTTTATCTTTAACTCATACTGTAATACAGAGTGAACGCCCTTCTGGCCGGGAACAGACGATACATCTCTAAAAAGTTATTGAATTGTGCAGGTAGTTGTAAGAATGGGAAATTCCACAAAAATTATTGTGTTAGAATTAATACATGTACAGTATGTGTGAGTTATCCCATGGCACTATTGAAATATTGGAAAATTGAAATGTTAAGTTCTATTAGCCTAAAACAAGACCTCCATTTCTATCTCATGCACAGATCCTTTCCTGAATATTTGAAAAAGAACCCATAAGGGTTGTTTTAGGAGGTTAAAATCTAAGGTGAGGGATGGTTTTCTGAGAGATAATTATTCAACAAAGCTTAATTTCTGAATGGATATTCTTCAAGGCTGGATTAGCTGTGACAGTCATAAAATCCTGTGATTTGGGTCTTAAGAGCAGAATATTCTACTGAAACTACTGGTACTTCAGATTTATGTACAGTACTGTATACTGCCATCTGCTGCTCATAATGTAATGGTATGTCGTCAGCCATGTCCCACAATGCATCACCAACTACACGACGCACGTGTTATGATGCTTGGATACAGGAACTGGAAATTGCAATATGTATGCCTTCATCGAAAGGTGGTGCAAATTTACAGTAGCAGTAGTGATGTTGGTAAAATATCCTGCATTTAAGCAATCACACTGGTTCTATTTTCCAGACATACATGTTATTAAAGTGATAATGTTCGTGCCTACCATAGTTTCCAGGAATAAGACCCGATTTAGTTCCGCATCTCCCCTTCCACCAGCCATCATTTGTCTGCAAACAGAAAAGATAATCATGATTTTAATATCACTGACTGCACATTTTTATTTCAATGGGCATGTTGTACTATGATTGATTTAGCATCATAGTAGACATTGAATTTCTTAACATAACATAAAAGTAAATAACAAACGTTCTTGAAGAAATGAAATTGAAAAATGAATTGCAAATTACATTTTTTTAAATACTGAAATGGTTTCATCTAAGACTAGAAATTAATAATTTTCTGTGAAAATGTAAGGGACTGCAATATAGACACAAATATTCTTACTTCTTTATAAAATATATTCTTTTCCTGAAAAGCAAAATAATTTTTAAAGTTTGTCTTCTGGGGTTGGAATATCATTAATTATAAAATTCAGTGAAATGTATATATAAAACCCAAAGTTAAAATCAATATTTATGAAATGAAGAAAGTGAATTTCTTGGTGTTGCATCCACATATGTAGAATGTAATATTGAATGCATTTTAGAATTTAAACATTAATCTGAATTCTAATTGTTTGATTTTTTTTCTTCCAGCAATCAATTAAGCCCCAGTAAATTAATACGGCATTAAAAATCGTAAGGCAAGGAAACAGTTAAGATCATTTCGTTTTTTGAAACGCAATTCAAGGAAATATTGTCATAACTTTCCAAGGAAACAGATATTTGCTGATGTTATACTGAGAGAGTAAACAATGGAAAAGGAAATCATACATGCATTGTAAGCAACTGAAATAGTAATCGACCCAATTTATTAAGAAGACCCTGGACAGCATATCATGGACTATGAAACGGTACGGACTTAAGATGACATAGAGTAGAGGGGGATATGACACATGTATGGACGACAGTATAAACGACACAGAGGAAACGATCATAGTCTCATCAATCAGTCCTTTTGTCTGAAAAAAAATCCCATCACTGACAGTCAGCACCACACATAAGGACACCAAGAGTGAAGATATTCATCTATGATCTATCTATCTACATCTGTTCAATAGCTTAGACTCTGTTGGGGCAACAATGAAATATCTTTCTCTTTTTTCTTCTTCCAGATATTGCAATAAGACAGTGCGGAAGGAGTTAAGTAGTCTATTTGCAAGACATCCATTTTGAGAAAACCACCACCAATGTTTTGAAAGTATGATTAGGAAAGATCACTGTACAGTAAGGAGGAATTATTAAAACAATATGGCAACCTCCATTGTGGCACAAGCCATCCGATGCAGTTGCCAATAAAACAATATGGCAATCTCCGTGGTGGCACAATTAGCCCTCTGATATGCAGTTGCCTCTGACTGAAACTTCCAAGATACGTTAAACTCCAGCAACCTAGTCACACTTTGTCTTTTTCAGACCTGTACAAAATGTAATTTTGTTTGGAATGGTTTACAACAGTACCCAAACTGTTTAAACCTCTGAAAACAGACATTTGCAAGGTTTTTTCCCCTTTTTTCTTCCAGTTAAAGGGGGGAGGGGAGGGGGGGGGGGGGGTGGGGTCTTAATCAATTATTTCAATTTTTGACACAATTAAAACCGTTATTTTTCTACTCTTAATACTTCAAATGATTTGGGTATATCTTCAAGCATTTCTGCTCTTTACTTGTAATTTGCAAATTATACTTTATATACACTGTATGAATAAGAAGAAGAAGAAGAAAAAAAGATGAATGGAGAAAAAATATTGTATCACACAGTAACTCTAAAACTTTAAGAAGTATCAACAAATACTGGTGTTGTATTTATAAGAATAATAATAATCTTTCTTGAAGTTCTTTGTATTTGGACCCAAACGTCCTGTTTCTATGGCACATTATCCAGTTTTTTGAAAAATTACGCCACTAGAAGGGTTTCTATTGCCTCTTGATATCTGCAATATCTATAAATAGTTATGGTATTATAAATTATGGTGCTACTGTGCAAGAAATTGTTCTTGAAAGTGAACATGGGTTCATGAATTCTGCGTTTAGACATTACAGAATACTGGCATTTTGAATCCAGGTATATTCATTAAAGGCAAAAATAATCTAAAAATGTTCTCATTTACAAATGTGTCTTGGTGGCCTTGTAATAATTAATAAGTAGTACTCATATAGACTCTATCCGATGAAGATACAACTTTCTTTCAACAGAGAGCTGAATGAACATACTCAACCTAGAATACAAATATGATGGAATAATAAATATTTTCCCTCTCAGAATTGCACAATAGCAAATTAAAACCTCATTTTCCACACCCCTCCAAATTAAGGGTCAACAGGGGTCAAATTTGCTGTTTTTATGGTGACGACATAACATGTGGACTCAATCGGCTCGTCTGTATAGCTGAGGCAATGGGCCAAGAATAAATAATTCAAAGTCATTGTGAATATGCGTACTCTGCATAAGATGATGTCATCAAGTCGAGTCAAGTTTTTAGCCCAACAAATTCTGATTTACAAAGCTTTAGATTTTGAGTTTCAAAGAACCGTTACTCCTCTGACAGAAACTAAAATAGCATATAATTGATATCATTGTAATCTATGGCTTATAAGCTTTACGTTGAGGTACATGTATATTTAATCTATTTTATTTTGCAGTTCTGACTTTATTCCATAAAGCCTTGAGTGACAGTGTCTGGTTGTTAGCAGCTAAAGTACAGATCCTATGGTGTACAGGGGGCCGTTTCTCGAAACCAACTCCATGACAGTCACATCTTTGTCGGTGACCTACGGAGATGTCATGAAGCGGATAAACCGATTCACAAAGCCATGATAGACATGATATCGATATATTGCGATACTAGCAGCTCAAGAACATAGTCTTTGTCACGATCCATTTGATTTATCAAGCATAACCCAAAACAAGTTTTGGGGCTAAAATTGTTCAAAAAGAAATATATACATATAAATTCTCCTAAAATAAATAATGAATAGTGTCATTATCAAATGTAGATCACCAAACGATTTGCATATTTCTGTAAAGATTCTTAAATTGAAGAAAAACCGGTGAGTGTTTTTTTGACAGTCGAATGAAAAGGTAGTTGAAGGATACCGTAATGTGATAGTTTATCAATACGTACTTTTTTGTTTATTGTGACGAGGAATTTTAGGCATAATACCTTTTCTCAGCCAGTTTTTATTCTAGAGTCTCATAAATACTCGTTATATAATTGATTTGATATTGAAAATGTAATTTGGAACAAGTAATTAGAGAGGGAATAATAATGCACATAGGCCCCAAAGGTATGACGGTATCCTAAGAAAAGACTATGGATCGACTATGGAAAACGGTTTGTAACATTCTTATCTCTCTTATTTTATGTTATAGTTTAATGATTTGTGATTTAATGTTTATATTCAGCTTTTTAAAATTTCTGTATAATTTGTATTATCACTTTTTTACATTTGCATTTCGCATCCCAGAGAATTACGTACCAAACTCGTCTATATTTTTCTCAAAATGATAGTGAAACTAATCGTACATTTCGCGGCCCATGGAATGGCAACAAACTGACTTGTGATGGCGCTTTACAGCAATTAAAAAGATATGACGGGTTCGGAGCAGTGACAACTCGCTTGTCGCGGAAGTTGTCGCTCATCTTGGCAAAGACGGCTTCGTGAAACACTTAGCTGACAAGTTGTGTGACAGTGGTGAGATGTCGTTGATCTTGTAGTTATGACGGTTTCGAGAAACGGCCCCCAGTATACCATACAGTCTACATACATGTGCATGTAGGCTCACAGTTTAGACACTGTTAGGTTTTTTTAATGCTGCCCAGTTCACTAGTGTCCCCCTTTTGCTTTGTAGTATACTACTTACCATTTCAGTCACATAAAGTAGGTCACCTTCTTCAAAGGTCAATTCATCACTCTGGAAATATATATGATAAAGACAAGAAAAAATGTGTAAATTTTAAAATAGAAATAGAAAATCAAGATACGTATATTGAAGGGCCTACATCCTGTACTAGAGCCTAAACAAGTTTTCAACATCATGAATCAACTAAATAAAACACATTTTATACTGGATTATGAAACATGGCAGTATACTTTATTGTTCACAGTAACTTTAAAAAATTGTGACCAAAAATTTGGGATTCTAATTCTAAAGGATTGCTATTTTTTCTTTTTCAGAGAGACAGAATAAAAATTAAAAATTTAACCAAACATGATTAAAAGCCTTTGTCCTGCGCAACTCATCAAAATTGTATTACTGGTATTGGGGTAATCTGGAAAATAGGCACTTCTAAGTTCTAATGTTCAACAGAGATGTTGAAGATAAAAAGCTTTTGCAATGACAAAAAAAATCACTGGTCTAGATCTACATATAGATCTTTCTCATTTCTAAATCCTTCCTATTTCTTCCATAAAGGCTATGAATGGATTGGTGTTCCTGTAAAACTTACCTGCAGGGCTGTGTAGGCATAGAGCGATCTGAAAACCTTTACTTGACCTGAAACAGATAGAGAGAAAGAAGAAGAATGAAAAATTGAATGGTGAATTTGATTTCAAGCATTTCAAAACTAAATTTCACACTGACATTTTGCAACACAAAACTTTAAAAAATATCAATACACAAGCTTATTGATTTATGCTGACAAATAAATGAATATCATTTCAGATGACAACAATCGGTTTTTTTCCACAGCCCTAAAATTGAGGTGACAATGCAAGGATGGAGTCAAGCTTCGCGGTTCGTCTTCAGATTGGGTGTGCATACCAGCTCAGCTCAGCTGAGCCTGGGCCAAGGCCGCGAAGCCAGAGTCAAGCCGGGAAGTTTTGGGGAGACACGTCGGTGGTGCATGGTGCGACGCTTCACATCGATATCGCAAACCGCGGAACATTATAAACCTAGGTCTAGGTCTATACCTCGTAATAACTTATTTTACATTGTAAATTTACCTGGTTTCGGCTGAGGTCTTGGTGGTGCAGGTCTAGAAGGGGTCGACATCTTTATTATAGAGTGTAATTTTCCTATAAACACAAGGAATAAACCAAATTACGTTCAATTTCAGGATGTAAACAAACACGGAAGTGAAAAGTGAAGAAATTGACGTAAGGTATCTCTAACGAAAATAAGAAAAAGGAAATAATATTTAGCGGGGCGTGGGAGTCATGCAGCTTTACGTGGGGTTGGATTAGGGCAAAAGTATTCCATGTCTCCGGGGGAACTCCTTTTATTTCCTGCTATTATATTTGAAACTTTCTAGCTTCAATTTTTATTGTTTATTTCCATTTCAAAATTCTCATACGAGAGCTCTTCGGGGGCATTCTAGAGCAAAAATCTCTCTATTTAGTTTCTTCCGCTGCTGGGTATTGAATTCCTCCAGATTAGGTTAGCTACTGAGCTTCGGCAAATTCTGAAATAGCCGCAGGGCACAAAACAGAAGTAAAACGCAAGCAAACAAGGAAACAAACAAAGCAAAAGAAGAAAGGAGAACTTTAACAATTTATTAATACAGGAGAGAAAAACAGTAAAGAAGGAAAATCATAAGAATAGAAAGAACTGTAGGCCTATATTACAAAATAAAGAGAAAAGGAAAGAAAGGGGAAGGGTAGGATGGAACATGGAAATATGTAAATTCTTTGCTATACTCATCCATCAACTTAATAACTCTTTGTTCATTTGCATCAATTAATTTGTCTACTATATGACCAGAACCGCCTTCCCCTATTGTACCTTATAGCTTATGGCATGGCCCCATGCTAGCTACTTTCTTACTGAAGAACAGGAGTGCAGTGATTTTACATCTCTGTTCTTATTGCGGGGGGGGGGGGGGGGGGGGGGGGGAAGTAAACTCAATAATTATTTGAATGTAATATTCCAATTATTCCCTTCACCATTTATCAACCATTGCCGTAGCCTGCTATTTTATGGGGAGGGGGGTCAAGGGAGCCTCACATTATTACAAAGTTTGTAGCAATCTATTATTCGGGAGCACAATAATCTCCACCACCCTCTCTCTTCCTGGCTATACTTGTGTCTCTCTCTTTCTCCTTTCCGTGTTTTCCCCCTTGTCTCGTTTGTCAAAATTTGAGATTGTACCAATATTTCTTTGGTAAATCATGAGGTGATGAAAATAATGAGAAAATCCACTTTCTTTCAGGCGAGCTCTTTACATCTACCATTAAATAGAACATCTTTTGCACAAAAGACATTTGATTTTACAGGTCCAAAACTGTGGAATTCTCTTTCAAATGATATTATACAGTGTAATTTGATACAAATTTTCAAAAGGAGACTTAAAAGTTTTCTTCTGAATATTTACTAGGCTATTGCATTCCTCAATCAAATATAATTTGTAGTGTGACTTTATGCAACTTTTATTGTTTCTTTTTATAAACATGTATTTATCAATGTTTTGCGTTTAAAAGTGATTTTTTTGTAGTATTACTGAATCAGTTACTATTATTGTGGTTCTTTTCTCATAAAATAATAATTCACGATAATTACTTTTACAGGGGGGCCAACACCCTACAAGCTCAGCTTTTTAGTCGGCCCTCCTTCCCTTTCAATTTCATGTTTACTTTTTTAATGTATTGTATTGTGCAAATTGATCTATATGTATATAAATATGTGAATATGTTAAAACGTACCATCATTGTAAATATGAACAATTGAAAGAGGAAAAATGAATGAATTGAATTGAAATTCACATATTCCTCAATCACTTAACCACTGATGTACATACACATCCACATCATATCAAGACACCCTCTGCATAGAGAAGCCTGGGCTCATATGCAATAAAGCCGTACTAAGCTAGTTGTCAACTTTAGGCTGCAATACACTTATAACTGGGGCTTTATGAATACTGGCCCTGGTTTCTGTAAGTTGCATCAATCCATGCACAGTTTAATCTTAAAACAATTCTTCATATTCAGTATAATTTTAGCTTACTTTTATATAAAATATAAAACATGTATGACTAAAAACGTTTAGATTTAAGAGATATACATGTAACATGTATCATTACAGTTGGTATATATTAAAGAGAAAAATAAGACAACAGGTCACAATGATCATTTAATATCAGATAGGTCTATGCAAGTCTTTAATGGGAAACAAATCAAGAATACAGTGTAGAAAAAAAGTTAAACATGACATGGACAGCAATTATGTATGAAATGTTTCCCCATATGTTTTTCTGCATATATGTATACAAACCTAATAACTTCATTCAGTCTTCAAGTATGAAGAATTAAATTTGTACAAATAAATCATTCTGATTATGTCATACACATTATAATGCTTGTTTTTCAGATCCCTTTACAATTTTCCTGTAGAAATATTTATTTTGTTAATACAAAAAAGGGGGGTTTCGCCAAACTAGAACCCAATCTACAGGTATGTCACCACTGACTTTAATCTGTCTGCAGCCTAGCTTTACTGAAGGGTAAACTAGAAATGAATGCTACATTTAGGACTCAACACTAAAAGGCGACTGCAACACAAAAGCTACATCCCAACACCCAAATTTCCAAATGTTAGAACAGAGATCACACATACAGACCTCCAAAACCTCAATCAGGACCCATCCCACTCCCTAAAATAGATTACGTGAAACCATGGCTACATGTATGTGGGCATATGGTAAACAGGTCACCAACTTTGCCTTGCATGGCCACTCTCCCATTCAACTTGTATGTTTTACATATCTTAATGCAGTCTCGATCAATATGACTAACTGTATTCATCAAAGTATAGCATAACTATCTACATAATCTCTATTACGACAAGGGAACAAGCACAAGTACAGACCTAGCTTACTGAAAAATACATTTTATCCATCCATTGCAGTGTTCCTTTATTACAACAATAGTACTATAAATTGCTTTTTTTTCTACAATTACAAACAAAAATGTATGGAAATGTATCTACAAAATGAAAACCATGACAGTGAATTAACGAAGGATACCATACCAATAATCCATACAATAATATCTGCACGCTGTATGCTCTTTTTAATGCAAAGTGACTTAGATGGTATTTCAAAGCTAAGTTCATCAATTGCAAAATTGGTTATGCTCTGTTTTAAGTGGGGATTTATAATTGATAACATTTTATAACAGACAACCAATGGAAAAGATTGTCTACTGAATTCTGCAACTAATTTGAGTCTCAGGGCAAGTTTAAGATTATGATCTTGCAATGTCAGGCATATCTCAAGCAATGCGTAGAGTATATGTTTAGAGTATAATTATGTTGAGTACCCACAGTGAAAGAAACATCATAGAATACATATATTTCTTTTCACAATGACTGAACAATGCATTCATTTTTCTTTCTATGATGCATGTACATGTAGCTTTGAAAGGAATATAATGAGAAAAAAATAAGTCCTATTTAATGAGATATCTTAAAATAATATAGAAAGCAACGAGAGGACTCCCTCTCTGTTGACCTCTTACCAGGTTATATACAGAATACTTCATGACATTGATCTTTTGAAGAACATCTCATGACCTTGACATTCTATAAGTTAGAACTTGAATGCAGAAATGTACATTTATGCATAATTCACTGATCCTCCACCCACCAATAACATATAATATCAAACTTTATACAATACATTTTCATTTAATTTGTCTCTATCTGATAGGCCATTATCATATATATGTATGGATAGACATTTTTAGTAAATCAATCACAAGATATAGTATAATTCATAACTTTAATACATAACTTTTTTGCGACAAAAATACATCATATAAAACATTTGGCTGAACACAACTTCCAAGTGTTATACACAGACAACCAATTCATATAAAATCCATCAATTTTTCAATGCTTGGTGCCAACTTCATGTTCCCTATAATCACAACATTCCATGAATGTGTTTAAAGGGGGGTGGGGTGGGGTTCATTATCAATCTGGGTCAAAACCAATACTCAAATACATTTCTGGTACTATACAAAATAGAAATTACCCATCAAGAGGTACAGAAAATGTAAGAGAGCACCCAACAGCACATTTTCTGCCAGCATCTGATCTCTTCATCACAAAACTTGATTTTAAACAAGATTTTCCTTTGAATGTGAAAATTGAACCAGACAGGTCTGAAATATGCTGCCATTCAGAAAGAGTGTCCACAATTGCCACGTGAACGAATATAGTAGTTAGTGGTTTACAAAATATGACAGATTATTGGGTTGACGTTACCCTCACAGGTCACAGTCCCTGAACATATAAATGGAATGGAATGGGAAAATAAATGTAGTCTCAGCTGAAGTAATGAGTAGCTGACCACATTATAAAAAGAAAATTATAAATAAATAAAAATGAAAATAAACCTAATTAAAGGTGACAAAGATCATTGTTGCACTTATTACAGAACATGTTTCCTCTTGACTGTCATTGAATCAGGAAGATCGATAGGTTGTATCATTTCTTGCACTTAAAAAACGTAAACAAGCTCATATTAAACATTTCCTCTCACTTTGGTTCTCGCCCCCGTGATGTATGTGACAACTTCATAATGTTTCGCATTAAAGTGTTCCAAATGATGGCATAAAAGTAATGAGGCTCTGACATATTAACCAATTAATGTGGCCAATTGGAGTGAAAAGTGATCGCAGCCAGAAAGAAGATACTTAAACATAGAGTGAACGCCCTTCTGGGTTTGAACAGACAATTTTGGAATATAGGCGATAGGAGATCTTGATATATTTCCAAACCACCAAAATCAAGCCATTTCTTCACTAGGTCAACTCGACTGAAAAAATACAGTTTACTTCACATTGGTCAAGGCTAATGTCTCCTCTATCGGCACACCATTACATTAGAAATACCTTGTGAATCTCAGCAATGACCTTTGACACACAAAGAATGACAATTACACAAGGAGCGAGTACGACGACAAAGCTGATAAGATAAATATATATAAAGACATACACTGTGTGTTCAAAGAACTTTTCATATGAACATTTTGAGCATGTTAATCTTAAACAAAGAAAATAAGAAAGAGTGAAATAAAACATGCCAAGCCCATTTCTCCCTGCTCGGTATGACTGTTATTGTTAATTATAGTTGTGATTGATGTATCATATGTTTGATGAAAGGGCAGAAGTAGCTTC